CACGCCTGGCTGATCTTTTGATTTATTGTAGAGATGAGGTCTTGCTGCCCAGGCGGGTCTCGAACCTGCGGGCTCAGGCAATCCACTCACCTCAGCCTCCCAAAGGAGCGGGATTACAGGCTGAGCCACCGAGCCCGACTTCCAGTTCTTTTAAAGCAGTGGTTCTCCAACTTTATGCGTAAGAGTCAACTGGTAATGCTAGTTAACTTGTAGATTATTTGGCCTTATACCTAAAGATTCTGGTTCAGTAGATCAGGTATGAGAAGTTCAGTGATTTAAAAATAAGCATCCCAGCTTACCTTGACGCCTGTGGTCTGTGAGCCACACAGTGAACATGGCAAAAACTGCGTCTCCAGTAAAGAGATATTGAACCTGTCAATATATGGACACTTGATCCAGATAATTTAGATAATCCCTTTCCTTCATCCATCCATTTATCCATTCGTTCATTCATTCAACAAAAATTTATTAAATATCTGCTCTGTGCCAGGCACTGTGCTAGGTGCTGAGGATGACATAGCAGAGAAAAACACTGAGTCTCTGCCCCATGGTATGAATCTTCTAGTGAGAGGAACAGGCAAAAAGAAAGATCAGAAAGGAAAAAAGGAAGAGAGAGGGAAAGAGAGAGAGGAAGGAGGAAGAAAGGGAGAAAAAGAAAGAAGAGAGAGAAAGAGAAAGAAAAAAGAAGGAAGCAAGAAAGAAAAGAAAGAAGGAAGGAAGGAAGGGAAAAGGAAGGAAGATCAAGTGGTGATAAGCAATATAAATAAAATAATGTTAAGGTAATGGGGGACAAGGAATAAGGTGTGAGTGTGTTGTCTTTTTAACATAGGTGGAAAGAAGGCTCTCTGATAAGGCGACTTTATAGAAACCTTTTTATTATAAAATGTTTCAATACAAATTGGAGAGCGAGGGAGAGCCTCTTGTAGTTCATAAGCATGATGGCTGGGTTTTCACACGCTTGTGTGAGATGCGCTGCCCTCAAAACTTGTTATGGCCGGGCTGGGTGGCTCAGCCTGTAATTCCGCACCTTTGGGAGGCTGAGGTGAGTGGATTGCCTGAGTCCCGCAATTCCGCACCTTTGGGAGCCTGTAATTCCGCACCTTTGGGAGGCTGAGGTGAGTGGATTGTTCGAGACCCGCCTGGGCAACTTGGCGAGACCTCATCTCTACAATAAATCAAAAATCAACCGGGCATGGTAGCGCGTGCCTGTAGTTCCAGCTACTTGGAAGGCTGAGGCGGAAGGATCGCCGGAGCCCAGCAGGTCGAGGCTGCAGTGACCGGGAGTGGCCACTGCCCTCCAGTCTGGGCGACAGAGTGAGACTCCAACTCGAAAAAAAACCAAAAAAACCTTTTATGGTGTTTAGACATTACCCATCTGACATGGAAAAAAAAAATGAGGAGAGACTTGTATAAGAGGCTCTCATACACTAATAACCTGCTTATATATCTTTTTATATTTTGCCATTCTTATTTTATCTATCTCTCACCCCTACCTTGTTTTGGGGTTTGTGTGTGTGTGTGTTTGGTTGGAGCATTTTAAAACATAAAAACATTTCATCTGTAACATTTTTTGTTATGTCCCTGACATATAAGGACCAGCTCTGGCACAAAAATATATTCCTAGTTTATTTTGAACATTTTCTGCCCCAGACCAGGAATCAGTCATTATCCTGGGGAGCACTGGTTACTCTTAGCAGGAAATAGTATTTAGAGACCAAGCTTGAGTGCTAGGCATGCTGCATTGCTGTGGGTTTGTCATTTCTTTTAGATCTTTTCAATGGAGAGAGCTAGAAAATACATATTTTGGGGCTGGGTGCAGTGGTTCACACCTGTAATCCCAGCACTTTGGGAGGCAGAGAAAGAGGATTGCCTGAGCCCAGGGGTTCGACACCAGCCTGGGCAATTTGGTGAAATCTTGTCTTTACAATAAATCAGAAAATTAACTGGGTGCGGTGGTGCGTGCTTGTAGTTCCAGCTACTTGGTAGGCTGATGTGGAAGGATCGCTTGAGCCCTGGAGGTTGAGGCTGTGGCTAGCTCTGATCATGCCACTGTACTCCAACCTAGGTGACAGAGTGAGACTCTGACTCAAAAAGAAAAAAGAAAAAAGAAAAATAATACGTATTTTTAAAAGAAAAATAATTAGACCTTCATACAGATATTTCACATTCATATTTATGAATTCAAGGTTTTTACATTGGTTTTGTATTTGTGCCTCTGCTGTCTGACACTAAAATTCCTGGTTCTAATAGCTTTAGCATTATCTATTTATATATAACAGTGTCAAAAAAACTATGAGAGTATCACCAACCGACAAATTTAAGGCTTTCCTGTGATTCTTTATGTTCATGGGATGTATTCCACTAGTGATATACACTTACTATTGACACATTTTAAATTCACCTGAGAAAATTGTCTTCTTTGTGCTAAGGAAACTTTGGGTTTGATATAGGGTTAGATTTATTTGTTTTTCCTTTGATATGATTCCTTTTTTCCTATTTAATTTTTAAAATTATGGGAACATTTACATTGCTTCAAAATAAAAACTCTAAAGCCCATCCCTGTTTCCTTTTTCCTTTTTTTTGGATCATAGCCTCACTCTGTCACCCAGGCTGGAGGGCAGTGGCGCTCTCATAGTCACTGCAGCCTTGACCTGCTGGGCTCAGGCGATCCTTCTACCTCAGCCTTCCAAGTAGCTGGAACCACAGGCATGTGCCACCATGCCCAGCTAATTTTTTGACTTATTGTAGAGATAGGGTCTCGCCAATTTGCTCAGCCTGATCTCAAACCCCTGGATTCAGGCAATTCTCTCGCTTCCACCTCCCAAAGTGTCAGGATTACAGGTGTGAGTCACCACGTCTGGTCATACCTATTTTCTTTATCTTCTTACTCTTGCCAATATCCAACACTTTTTATTAGTTGTTGGCTCATCTTTGTATTCTTTTGAAAATATGAGCAAAAGCACACACATACACAATTGTATTTTCTCCCTTACACTGAGAGTATGATTCTGTAAATACCATTTTGTTCCTGCAGAGAACTTTATAGGTATATATAAATCTGCTTCTTTCCTTTTTATAGCTGCATCATACTCCATTGTGTGGATGTACTTAGCTTATTCAGTCCGTCCCTACGTTAATGACATCTGTGTTGTTTCCAGTCCTCTGCCAGTCTAAACAGAGCTGAAATGAACAACAACAACAAAAAAGCCAAACTTTCTAATTCTTGCCAACTGAAGAGTTGGAAAATACTGTCATAGTGATATTTTAATATGCCTTTCTCTACTTCTGACTGTAGTGGAACACCTTTGTATATGTTTAAGGACCATTTTCTTTTTTAATCTATTCTATATCTTTTGCTGATAAAGTGATACTTGAACAGGGACTTGAAGGCAGTGAATCGCGTAAAATACCTGGAGCAATAGCATCCTAGGTCACAGAAACCACAAACGGAAAGGACTTGAGGCAGAAACCTGCCTGGAGTGTTGAAGGATAAGCACAAAGAAGCCTGTGGCTGCTGGGGAGTGAGCACAGGAAGGAGCCGTGAGAAAAGGCGCAGAGGTCCAGCTCAGGTAGGGCTCGGAGGCCGCAGGATGGACTTAGCCATTCCTTCAGCTGGAGAGAAGGCCACTGGAAGACTCAGAGAGAAGACTGAAGTGAGCCTGTGCTTGTTCCCTCAGGATCCCTCCAGCTGCTGGGGCTGGGGGTGGGAGACAGGCTGAAGAGTGGGACAGGGAGAGCAGCTGGGAGGCTGATAACAAGAGTCCAGCTGAGCAGTGATGCTGGTCTGGACCAAGACAGCAGCAGAGGTGGGAGAAGTGGTCAGATCCTAGTTTTTTGTGTCAAACGTTTTAACAAAGATACTTTTTTTTTTTTTTTTGAGGGTTGGAGTCTCACTCTGTCGCCCAGGCTAAGGTGCAGTGACAGAATCACAGTTCACAGCAGCCTCAACCTTCTGGGCTCGGGAGATTCTTCCACCTCAGCCTTCTGAGTAGCTGAGACTACAGGCCTGCACCATTACACCTGGCTAATATTTTTATTTTTATTTTTTATGTAGAGACGAGATCTCATGACATTGCCTAAGCTGGTCTCAAACTCCTGGACTCAAGCAATCCTCCTGCCTTGGCCTCCCAAAGTGCTGGAATTACAGGTATGAGCCACCGCACCTGGCCAGATGCTTTCTTATAACAAATATTTGTAGTCTTAAGGTACAAACCAACAATCCTTGGAACTATTAGAACAGATTTTTCAACTCAAAATAATGTTGTATATCCTCTAGAAAAAGCTCCGTATCTCCTTAAACAAACAGACTTAGAAACTTATTTTACAATGTCAGAACAAAAATTAAGAGTAGACTGGACAGATTATTTTGGTAAATTCGACTTTTATTTCTAATTTTGTTAAATAGACTTACATAGAAACTCAGCTTCAAAGTAACATGATCCAAAATAAGAATATATTTAACTTGTTATGGTACCCTTCCTTCTTATCTTCCTAGACAAAGGCAACAAAATTGTTCATCTGGATGTTTACATCCCCAGAAGCATTTATGTCAGAAGTGTTTCAGAATTTCTCTCAAGGTCCCTGCTTAAAAATCTCGTGGCAATCTAAATACTGATTGAAACTGCAGCACAGGAATTTGGGATCTATGAGTTGAATTTCATAATATTTTTCACCGTGTTTTACAATTAAGTGCGGTATTAATACAAAACAGAACAAAAGATTGGAATAGAATAGGGAGGAGGAATTTCTGTTTTGTCTGATGACTGATCATGGCATAAAGGGACTTGGGGAGGCTATGTCTTTAGCTTTAGGCTTAGCAATGCTGATTATAGCAACCCAAGCAGTGTTTTCTCACAGGCTTCAAGTGAGTTATCCTTCTGCCTCCCAGGCACTTCTAGGGGCTCATACCCTTTCATGCACTCAGTGAACCCTCACCTGCATCCTCACCTGTACCACGGCTGCTATGGGGACATCATGACCATGACAACCTCTGGAGTTGCCTGTGATATAAACAGTTTGATTAATTGTAGTAAGTAAAAGCAAGGCAAACATTTGACGTCCCCCTTTCATCATTTGCAGATTCTTTCTTAGGAAGTAACTTAATTGTGAAAAGTAATCATCCGCGTTATGACAATACTATCAACAAATTAGAAAAAACAGAATTCTGCCCACGCTAACCACCCACTTCTTTGCATTTTTCCCCATAAATCTTCTGAGCCCAGAAGGTCGAGGCGGTAGTGAGCTGTGATCCTGTCACTGTACCTTAGCCTGGGCGACAGAGTGAGACTCCAACCCTCAAAAAAAAAAAAAAAAAGTATCTTTGTTAAAACGTTTGACGCAAAAAACTAGGATCTGAGCACTTCTCCCACCTCTGCTGCTGTCTTGGTCCAGACCAGCATCACTGCTCAGCTGGACTCTTGTTATCAGCCTCCCAGCTGCTCTCCCTGTCCCACTCTTCAGCCTGTGCCCCACCCCCCACCCCCAGCAGCTGGAGGGATCCTGAGGGAACAAGCACAGGCTCACTTCAGTCTTCTCTCTGAGTCTTCCAGTGGCCTTCTCTCCAGCTGAAGGAATGGCTAAGTCCATCCTGCGGCCTCCGAGCCCTACCTGAGCTGGACCTCTGCGCCTTTTCTCACGGCTCCTTCCTGTGCTCACTCCCCAGCAGCCACAGGCTTCTTTGTGCTTATCCCTCAACACTCCAGGCAGGTTTCTGCCTCAAGTCCTTTCCGTTTGTGGTTTCTGTGACCTAGGATGCTATTGCTCCAGGTATTTTACGCAATTCACTGCCTTCAAGTCCCTGTTCAAGTATCACTTTATCAGCAAAAGATATAGAATAGATTAAAAAAAAAAAAGCGGTCCTTAAACATATAAAAAGATGTTCCACCACAGTCAGAAGTAGAGAAAGGCATATTAAAAATCACTAACTCCTCATCTGATCAAAGAAGTGGGTCAGAGGCATTGCATGGACCCTGCTATCATTGCGGCCATCATCTCCAGGGAAAGCCATGGTGGAGGTGGCCTGCAAGACGGCTGGGACCACAGGGGACTTAAATTTGGCTTGATGCAGGTATTAAGCTAGAAACTTTCCATCAGCCCTATTTCATCCTACCCACAGAAGCTCAGGCCAAACTGGAAATGCATTTGCAGTGCTTCCAGCTCCAAAATGTTTTGGCGTCTGGATGTAGGTGCTTCAGTATAATTTGTTCTGGGGTTTCAGTAACATGTCTTTGGTATTTCATTCAAAGCTTGTCAGTTATTGGATGTCTTTTAAAAGTGTTCTATGAGTTTCAAAACTCCAGTTCTGTGATAAATAATATGCAATGTATTTAAGTTGATAAAATCTTGTAAAGGGCAATATTATTACAGATGTTCTCTTGGGGTTCGTGAAGTAGTAAATTTCATCCATATGGATTAAAGCACCGTATAATTAAGCCCTACTTGAATCAACTTGTTCCTTTGGTTCAGTTGAGGAAAGGGATTCAAATGACCTGGATATTTGTTTCCAAACTCTATTTTAAGTTGTCTATAAAACATAGACTTCTGGCCTTCCCAGTTAGAAACAAATTTTTACTTGAATTAGCTGGATAATTATTTTCTTACTACAAATGTCTGGACTCTGGATGCTAATTGTTTTGAGACAACTTTTTAAACTCTTTTTTAAAAAAAATTAGAATTATTAGCTAAAACTATGCCATGTCTACTTCTTCCAAACCTTACTTTGTTTCTCTGACTCTATTCTTTATGAAAGAAAGAATAGTAAAATTGCTGGGCCTGGTGGCTCATGCCCGCAATCCTAGCACTTTGGGAGGCTAAGGTGGGAGAATTGCTTGAGTCCTGGAGTTTAAGACCAGTCTGGGCAACATAGTGAGACTTTGTCTCTACAAAAAAAATGAAACAACTTAGACAAGCATGGTGATGTGCACCTGTAGTCTGAGCTACTGGGGAGGCTGAGGTAAAAGGATCACTTGAGCCTAGGAGTTGAGGCTGCATTGAGCTGGGATCATGCCACTGTACTCCAACCTGGGTGACAGAGTGAGACTGTTAAAAAAAAAATACAGTAAGTCCCCTACACACGAGCCTTCAAGGTCCGAACTTCCAAAAATGTGAATGTGCTACCAATGTCTGAACTTCCAGAGATGGAATGTGTATGTCCAATCACGTAAGTCAGTTCACATGTCTGGTGTACATTGTCACATGTGTGCATTCCCTGCAAGTTTTTGTGCTTTTGTGTATGCTACTGTACAGTATTGTATGGTATTTTTTTGTGCTTCTTTGTTTTTTGTGTATTATTTGTGTGAAAAGTATTATAAACTTATTATGGTACTGGACTATATAGCTAATTGTGTTAGTTGGGTACCTAGGCTAACTTTGGTAGATTTATGAATTGGACTCACGAACGCACTCTCGGAACAGAACTCGTTCATGTGTATGAGACTTACTGTAGTAGAATTGACGCTTTGGGGGAAAAGGAAGAGTGCCAAGGCCAGTGTAGATGAACTTGAACACAGGGAGGAAAACTTAGGAACAGCAGAAAAATGTGTTGCCTCATCTGGATGCTGATTTTATGATCTGTATTTTCCAGCTTGATAAACAAATGTATCACCCTGTTGGGACCTGGGACAGCAAAGAACACCTTTTGCAGGGTGTTGGGATTCTAACAGACAGAGTTAAGGTCATCCAGAAAACATTCCCCACGTGGAGTATGGCTCAACACCTCAAAGGCAGGTCATATTTTGTGTGCTTTCTTTAAATGAGACCCCTGAAGACCAGGTGTGCCCTGGGTCTCGCTGGGAGCTTTCCTACTGGGTCAGCAGTGGGCCTGGGAGGAGCTGTCTAGATGTTGCAGTCGTGTTGACTAAACATCTGAGTGTCTTTGAGTGGTCTTCCTTTCCCAGCTTCCAATTCCCCTTCTGCAAGATGTGGGGTTCTTATTGCATCTCTCGTTGTTTATGGAGCCATTGAGTTATGCCATGAGAGTTAATACAATAATTTAAAGGAATATGTTTGCCCTCCTCTCATAGGTTTTTTTCCAAGTTGTTTGAACAAATTTACTCTGTAAGCATTTTCAGGACTGCGGTTCCCACGATACATCCAAGTGTGACCACAGGCCACACTACGTTCAGCATCTCCCAGATGGAATTAACTCAACAGCCTCTCTCTATAAAATCTGCTTTATCTTCTGTATTTTCTGTGTTTTTCGAGGCACCATAATATAGCCAACCAGGTTATTTTCTTGGGCTCTCTAGTTCCTTCTCTCTTCATATCCAATCAAAATCAATTTCTATTAAGTTTACCTACTTTGGACCTAAGGTATATCTTCACACTTTAATGGCCTTCAATATTAAGAACAGTCTCTATTCTCTATTGCAAGGACCTTGAAGGCAAGGATCAGGACTGGGGCTTTTTCTCTTGACATCAGAGTAGAGCACAATTATGTTAAACACATAACTATTGAAGATAAAATTTCAGGGTAAAATAGCATGAGCACGTACACATATGCACACATACCCCTACAAGGAAATGAATGTGTCTTGGACACCTTGCAGTCAGTGTGGTCCCTCTCTTGGCACATAGTAGGGGTTTTAGAACATTTATTGAATGAATGAATGAATGAGTGAGTGAATACATGAACAGATCATTGAATAAATGAGAGAATGTTATGAGTATTCTCAGACTGAAGACATGCTGGGGATATAGTTCTGCCAGGCCTGGACTACATAAAAAGCAAACCTGACTCTTACTGCAAGAAAAACCAAATACTTTTAAAAAGAGAGAAAAATAAAGCAATCTGGAATTTTTCCTAGTGATTTTGGGGTTAGCATATCCTTTTAGGAAGTCAGGAAGAGGGAGGAGAATTTGGGACTGCCTGCTTTGGAAGATTTGCCTGGAGGGCTGACATACTGAGAATGCTCATATCTTTTTTCCACTCACAGTTAATATTTGAGACTAAATCTCTGTGTTTCATTTCAGGTGGTCTCTCAGCCTTTAAGTCAGGAGTTGAAGCCATTGTCACTCCAGTGGACATAGACAATAACTACGTCAATGATATTCTTGCCCGAGCTAGATTCTATAAAAGACATGGCTTCTAGGCAAAACTCTATGTGGGAGCCAGGTTGACAGGGTGCTCAGCTGGCCTTCCTTGGAGAGTTTGTTTTGTTTTTTTTTTTTGAGTTGGAGTCTCACTCGGTCGCCCAGACTGGAGCGCAGTGGCCGCTCCCGGCCACCGCAGCCTCGACCTGCTGGGCTCCAGCGATCCTTCCACCTCAGCCTTCTGAGTAACCGGAATTACAGGCATACGCTACCACGCCCGGCTGATTTTTTGATTTATTGTAGAGATGAGGTCTCGCTGCCCAGGCGGGTCTCGAACCCGCGGGCTCAGGCCATCCACTCACTTCAGCCTCCCAAAGGCGCGGGATGACAGGCTGAGCCACCGAGCTCGGCCCTTGGAGAGTTTTATATACCCAACATTGGCAAAGAAATGGCTAAAGCTATGAAAGAAAATTCATTTCCCAATTTTCGGAATGAAAATAAGCTTTAAAATAAAAAGAGAAGAAAAAATAGGAGGTCCACTTAGTTCACAATATGGTTCCCAGGAAATGTACCAGATATACATACAATTGCTTGGCAGTAAATGTGAGTATCATGGCAAGTGGCATCTACATATTCCAGTGTTGCCTCACTTTAGCCCATGATTTCAATGCTGACCCCCTCTGTATCTGTTTGCAAGTAGTTAAGTGAGCCTGACCTGAGCCTTTGTCCTTTTCCCAGTATTTGCCCAAACCACTAGGGTTTTGCTTATGAGAAGTTCCTGACTCATAAGCCAGGCAATCCATGGAATAATGGAGAAAGTAAAGATGGAATTCTAGCTCCACAGGTAACCAAGAGCCAACTGAGATAAAGCTGATCTTCGAGTGATATACACCAAATCCTTCAAACACACAGCATTCTCCTGTGTCTTCTTTTTTTGTGTGAAGATCCAGGGACTGGCTTCTCTTCTGTTTTCAGCAGCTGCTGCCACACACTTTCTTTCAAGGGATCCACTCCCGTAAGACATGGCTGAAGTTGAACATGTAGCACCCAAATTAATTATGGTTCCTTGGTTGCAAGCAAAAGTCACCACTTCTGGAAATGTTAAACAACAAAAAGAAATTACCAGAAGGCTAACAGAACTGCCTGAGAAGGTCAAGGAGATTAAGGGAAACCAGGCAACTCTGGGATCTGGGTAGCAGGAATTGGTGAGCCGTACTTTACAGCACCACCAGTGAATGAATGAGTTAGCATCCTCACTAATGCCCTCATAAATGAACGCCAAACACCTTTTCCTCATTCTTTCTCATTCTGCTTTACTTTAACAGTGCCAGGAAACAGACTGTTATGTGTTTATGCTGGATCATCCACACACCTTCCCCTTGGCTACTTTGCTTCTTTGGTCTGGCCCAGACTACCTACAATGGAGAAGGGACAATTCTCTAAAAGGAAACTGTGCTGTTTGTGGCCTTTATTTCCATAGCCAGGATAGGACACAAATAATAATATGTCGCAGTGTGAAACTGACAAAGTCCCTGAACTTGGGGCCCATGCTGGGCCTTCAACTCCTTCTGGAGATGTTCAATGAATATTTCTGCCCGTGACTTCTCTTTCTGAGAAGGAATACCCATCTACCTCTAAGTCCCTGGAGAAAGCCAAGTAAACCCTTCTCTGCCCAACGACTTCTCAACCCAATGTGAAGATTTGATCTGGGCAGAACCAAGAATCCTTGTTTCACTGGGCAGAGCCAAAGGTCAGTTGGTGTGGCAGTCCTGCCGCATCCATGCCTGTATCTTTTATGATTGGTTGAGGCTCATGCTATACCAGATGTTGTTTTTTGTTTTTGTTTTTGTTTTTGAGTTGGAGTCTCACTCTGTCGCCCAGACTGGAGTGCAGTGGCCGCTCCCGGCCACCGCAGCCTCGACCTGCTGGGCTCCGGTGATCCTTCCGCCTCAGCCTTCCGAGTAGCCGGAATTACAGGCATGCGCTATCACGCCTGGCTGATTTTTTTTATTTATTGTAGAGATGAGGTCTCGCTGCCCAGGTGGGTCTCGAAACTGCGGGCTCAGGGCATCCACTCACCTCAGCCTCCCAAAGGCACGGGATTACAGGCTGAGCCACCGAGCCCAGCTGGATGTTAAGTATTTTGATTATCACCCCTGCAATTAGACTGTGTAGGAAGTTCTTCAGAGGTCCACTTTGCTCAAGAATGGTTTCTTTTGAGCTTTCCCCCACAAGCACGTATTTCATCTAATTACTAGCCCCTTCAAGTGTCACTACTACAACAACAAAGTACTTCTAGATAAGATCACTTCCAAGTAATTTGAAAATCAAAGAAATAGTACAGTCACTTATTTCCTGAGTCAATTCCCTCAGTATTCTCTTTATGACCGGGATGCCAAAAAATGCCCTACGGGAGACGTCATACTCAAGTTGTCTTAGTTGTCTTAGTTTGGTTTACCCAGAAGCAGATCTCAAGGTAAGGATTCAAGTGCAGGTAGTTTATCTGGAATGTACAGGGAACACTGGAATGAAGTGACTTCAATATACAGGAAGGAGAAGATAGCCAATAAAATGTGTCATCAAGCCAGCTACCACAGTGGGTACCAGAGTTCAACCTTGTAGGACAACTGTTAAGAATGGTGCAAAAACATGCCTCAGAATTATTCCACCCAAGGACAAAGAGCTAGGGTATTTATGCGAGCCACTGGTTGAGAAATCTGCCTGTAGGGGGTTTAATGTTCTCGCATTCTACTGTAGCCTGAGTCAGGGCTTCACCAATGGGGTTTTGGTATCCTAGTACATGGGGCTCCTGTATCAAGGAGTCCTGTGAATTTGTCTTCTCCACATCCTGACCATTTCACTCCCTTACGTACAGAAGACTTTGGATCCCCAGTAGGGAAGGGCTGAGCCAAGGGACTCTGACCCTTTTGTCAATCTTTTTCTTGAACCTACCTATCCACTGCCCCAGTGGACTTATGTGATGCCCTTTAATGTCAAGGGACCAGCAGAAGGTCCCTTGGCCTTCTCAACCTTTGGAAGTGCTGCATTCATACCTTTGTTTGAATCCATCTATGTGCTTTTTATTTATCCCATTATCAATAACCATCTAAATATTTCCACCCTGCTGTGACAAGTTGCATGACTCTCCTCTTTTTCTTTTTTATTGTGCACTTGCCAATATTTGCTTCTTCTTATTTTTTTTGTTTGTTTTGAGTTGGAGTCTCACTCTGTCACCCAGACTGGAGTGCAGTGGCCGCTCCCGGTCACGGCACCCTTGACCTGCTGGGCTCCGGGGATCCTTCCGCCTCAGCCTTCCGAGTAGCTGGAACTACAGGCACGTGCTACCACGCCCGG